CACACACACACACACACACACACACACACACACACACACACACACACACACACACACACACACACACACACAGACACACACACACACACAAAACACAGCACAACACAGTACAGCACATTGCTCACAACCGCAAAAACGTACTCGACGGCGGCGAGGTAGGATGGGGGATGCACGGCCCGTCCAGGAACATCGACAAGGGTGAGGTGCGGATACGCAGGGCTGGAGAGGCGCACGACAATCTCTGCATCCGTGTGGATAAAGCGCGGCGTGGCGCCTGGGTCCGCGTTGACCGTCTCCAACAACAGCTTGGCACGCTGTGTGAGCGCCGTCTTGAGGGCTGCCCACGGCACGTGGTCTGATGTGACGCCATCGCGCGCAGCTGCAGGCGTGTGGCGGCCATCGTACACGGGGAGGGCGAGTGGAATCTCCTCGCGGGCGCCCGTGCGCCGGCGCTGTGTGATGCGGGGTGCGCTCACGGCGCCGGGGACAAGGTTGATGACAATGGGCACGCGCGTGTCCTGCGGAAGGAAGTGGGCATGCAAGAGGCGCTCAATGCATGTGCTGACGCCGTCAAGCTGGTTTCCGATGAAGACGAGGCGGGTGGGCTCCGTCGACGGCAGCACTTCGTTGATCATGAGCTCCTGCGCGTGGCGGAGCACAAAGTCGTGCACGGTGTGCGGTTTGCGGGCATCTGCCGGTGGGGCGACGAGGTCCTCCAAATCCTGTACCAGCATGGCTGCGTCTGCGTCCTCGCCCCCTGCCACAGCCGGTTCCACGGGGTGACCCGTGACGAGCGAGAGCAGCGGGTCCTCCCCTGCTTTCCCCAGCGTGCTGGCATTGTCTGGTCGAGAAGAATGTGGAAGAATGTGGAAGAGAGGGGAGAGGAGAGGGGGGGGGGCAGAGAGAGGGGGAGGGACAACAGTTGTGGTGGAGATGTTGTTGTTGTTGTTGTTGTTGTTGTTGTTGTTGTTGTTGTTGTTGTTGTTGTTGTTGTTGTTGTTGTTGTTGTTGTTGTTGTTGTTGTTGTTGTTGTTGTTGTTGTTGTTGTTGTTGTTGTTGTTGTTGTTGTTGTTGTTGTTGTTGTTGTTGTGGATGAGTTGATCGCGGACAACAAAACGAGTGCATCAAAGGTAAAACGAGTGCATCGAAGCGCACGTGGAACAGCACACAGGCGTAGGGCCCATTGTCCCCATTTGCGGCCTTTGTTGTGATGAGGCAGTACTCACAGAAGCGGCCGTCCTTGGCGCGGATGGCGTTGCTTGGGTCCTGTTCGATGAACACCCGCAAATACAAACACAACCACGACACAAAGCGATGATGATAGGATGATGGTGATGATGAGGAGGACAAAACAAACTAACTGGGCTTCATCGCACACACACACACACGCACACACACACACACCCATACACACGGGACACGTTTGCTTGTGCACATTCACGCACCAGTGGCTGTCCTGACAGCTGGTCCACCGCCAACGACTTGTGCAGCGACATGGTTGACGAAGTCGTGGGTGAGCGGCTTGGCTTGCTTGTTGCGCGGTTTGGCACAGTGCACAGTGTCGACGAAGCAGAAAAGAAAATGATGAGTCATCTCCAATGGTGTGTGTTGTCCTCCTCTCTCGCCTTCTTCACACGTTGCTTCTTTTCTTGCCTCTTGTCAGCTGCAGCCATGCCGTGCCATGCCATGGGGATGGTGTGTAGCAACGTGGTGGAACTTCGGCAAGACGTGCGCCGAACAAAGCGACCAGCCAGCAAGGCAACCAAGGAAGACAGAAACGCAACAAATCAATCACACACAAACATACGCGCACACGCACGCAATTGTATGCACGAGTGCATCAGAAGGCGTTTGCTGCGCTGACAACGATGCCTGCGCCCGCGCCGGTGATGTTGAGGGGGCCAGGCCCCACGTTGTTGGCAAAGACGACCTTCTTGGCAGCGGCAGACACGTGCAGCTGGGACTTGGCGTCTTGGAAATCGCAGCCCTGCACGATGGTGTTGCCGCCCTCCGCCAGAATGGCAGACGTGCCGCGCGCCATCGCTGTGAGTGAGTGAGCGTGAGTGAGTGAGTGAGTGAGTGAGTGAGTGAGTGAGTGAGTGAGTGAGTGAGTGAGTGAGTGAGTGAGTGAGTAAGTAAGTGAGTGAGTAAGTAAGTAAGTGAGTGAGTGAGTCAGTGAGTCAGTGTTTGCGTGTGAGTATACGAGCATGCCCATCGCCCTCGTCCTTCCATATCTCAGCCACGCCCACAAAACGCACAAGCACACACGCGTGCGGCTTTGCTTGAGGTTAGTCACTCACCGAGGTCCCACTGCACAAAGCTGCAGCTGGAAAAGGTCGTGGTGCCGCTGCCTTGCAGGCGAGCAATACTGTCCGTCGGGCCCTGATGTCACATCGATACATACAGGCGCAGATTGTGTGTGTGTGTGTGTTTGTGTGACACCGTGTGTCATGATCACAACAACCAATGTGCAGTTGTGCATTACGAACATCAATAACGAGGCCGCCCCAACACACAAACAAACACATACACACACACACACACACACACACACACACACACACACACACACACACACACACACACACACACTCGCTCTCTCTCTCTCAATCTCTGCCTCACTCACTCACCCAGAAGGAGGAGGTGACAAACTTGACGGGACCCGTGTTGGAGGGGCTGACGACCACCTGGGAAGGGATGGCGGTGCTGTTGGGCGCAAAGTCGTTGTTGTGGAAGGCCGTAAACTCCCCGTTGGTGATCAGCAGACCAGCAGGCTGGCTCGCGTCAACCTTGTTGCATCGTCATCACATGTGTGTGCAAGTGAACGCGTGTTGGGAGCTGCATGAGTTTCCAACCTTTTTCTGATACACTGACAAGCATTGCCACACATAGTTTCACTCTTGAAACGCAATTTACACGCACGCACGCGCACACACACACACGCACGCACGCACGCACGCACACACACACGCACACACACACACACACACACACACACCTTGACAGAAGCGTTGCATGCGTAGTCTGCGCCGATGCCGAGGAAGTTGCCGTTCATGGAGCCCGTGCTCGTCTCAACAAAGTGGTATCCCACCGCATACGCAAAGGCGAACGTGTTGAACACATCTGAGATGGCCGAGGGAGCACGCAGGTCAGAGAGGGAAGCGCAGGTCAGAGAGAGAGAGAGACAGCCAAGTGTTGGTGCAGAGCAAAGTCAGGCGGCGAGAAGGAAGTGCAGAATATGGAGCAGAAAGGGACGTGTTGGCGAAGTTCACGGTGGTCCAAATGGAAAGAAACCATATGTGTGCGCGTGTTCGTGTGTTGTGATGATAGCAACAGTATGCCGAAGTGTGCGTAGTTGCACTTCATTACCACCAACATCACCACAACCACCAAGACAATGAAACCCACATTCCCAGTCTGATCGCCCGAGTACAAAGGCGCGGCCGTATGTGGTCTGCCAATACATGAACTCCTTGTTCACGCTGAACCACGGGTTGAAGTGCACATCCTCCATGCGCCCAATCTGTGCGTGAATGCGTGTGTGAGTATGCGTGTGTGAGTATGCGTGTGGGTGCGTGTGAATGTGTGTGAGAGAGTGAGAGAGATCGTGTGGGCGTGTGTGTGAATGTGTGTGTGTGTGCGTGTGCGTGTGCGTGCGTGTATGTATGTGTTGAAGCAACGCGCCCTGGATGGTGCATCAGCAAGCAAGTGACAGGAACCAAGATGGCCGAGTTTCCCACCCCATCATCCTTCCCTGCAATCTTCCCTCCCCTCCCACGCCCCCAAATTATCCGCACGTCGTAGGTCTGGTCGATGAAGATGCCGATGTTGAGCGGCTGCCCCTGGATGCGGGCGATGTAGTGGCGGTGCGCGGCGACAGCAGACACGCCGTTCCACGCATTCAGGATCTCCACGTCCGTCACTGCCGCGTTGTTGCCCTGACATGTATTGGAAGGTGGGTTGAGGGAGCAAGGATGAGTTGTGCCAGCGGTGACGCGGACGGTGTGCCGTCACAGCAGCAGAAACACAAACACATGCACATGCGTGCAAGTAATCAAACATACTTGCTTTTGCACACACACACACACACACACACACACACACACACACACACACACACACACACACACACACACACACACACACACACACACACACACACACACACACACACACACACACACACACACACACACACACACACACACACACACACACACACACCACGAGGGCGATGGCAAACGGGTAGGGGACAGGCATGGCGTTTGGGGTCTGCTCCACATGGTAGACAACAAAGCCATGCAAGGTTGCGTCGTGCTGAACGGTGATGAAGGGGTCAGCAGAGTCGTTGCCGCGGTTGGCGAGCGGCATCAACACAGATCCGTCATTGGGGTAGTCCCCTGCACCCACGGAATCAACAGTGCTTGTTTGTGAATTGGAGCAGCAGCGGTAAATACAGTTTGTTCGCGCAGAGCTCCAATGATCCACACACACACACACACACACACACACACACACACACACACACACACACACACACACACACACACATATGCACACACATATGCACATGCACATGCAAACACACACACACACATGCACATACACCGCCATCGCGGCCACAAACAGCACACCTCACCCTGTCGACAGTCATGCGATGGGACGGTGTCATAGGATCCTTGGAGTGTGACGGCCGGTGGCACTACCAGGTTGCCCTTGAACCTGTATAGCCCAGGTGGCACATACACCACACCTGCATGTGTGTACACGTGCGTTGAGAAGAGGCGAGTTGCACGCAACGAAGGCACGGATAAGCAGCAAGCCTCAGGAGGAAACAAGCAACTAACCACCCGCTGCTGTCTGGGCTGCGGCAAGCGCCTTCTGGAACGCATCTGTGTTGTCCGTTGCGTTGTCGCCTTTGGCTGGAATGCGCAAGCAACAATAGGTTGGTGGGTGGCGATGGCACATGGAGATGAGCGAAGAGATGCACGTGTGCATGTGTGTGTGCGTGTACTGATGTGTGTCTTTGGTGTCAAACGTTGCTCACACACACACACACATGTACATGTATACGCACACACACACGCACACACACACACACACTCACTCACTCACGCACACACGCACATGCACACCCACACACCTACCTCCGTAATCTGTAACATCGAAGAAGCCGGGCAGTAGCTGCTGCATGCCGTAGCGCCGAGCCGATGGCTGAACGAACCGAGGCAGTGGTATCTGGCCACCGCCAACCCTTGCGCCACGGCCAGCAGCACCACTTGCAGGCACGTTCACTGCGGCCGCCACACCGCAGCACACAAGCGCCAGCGCCAATGCCACTGAAACGTCGTGCATCATTGTTGTTGTTTGTTTGGATTTGCTGTTTGGGTTGGTTGTTTGTATATTTCAAATCATGCATGTGTCAAAGGTCATCGAAGCACAGCAGTTGAAACACATCCGCAGCAATACACAACGTTGGGGTACAACGAGCACACGAACAGACAAGCAAAGGCAAACGAACAAACGAGCACACGAACAGACAAGCAACAACAAGCAAGGCAGGCAAACGAAGGTGGTGGGCGCCTGGTGTCTCTTCTCTTCTCCTCTCTCTCTACTTTGTCGATGCAGTGTGGTAGAATGGGGGCAGGAAAGCGAAGTGCGATGGCGTTGTGTATCGTGATGTGTGTATGTGTGTGTGTATGTGCGTGAGCCATGTCCAAAGCCGCAATCGTCGTTGCAGGGGTAGTTGTGGTAGTTGAAGTGGCCTGTTGCTGGTGGTAGTCATGGTGGCGATGATGGTGGTGATGGTGGATGGCGTGGTGGATGGCGCGTGTGATCCTAATCCCTGTTGACCAGCAGAGGCTGCTTCTCGTCGTACGTGTTGTCCGCCTGCTTTGAAGCATGGAAACGCATGCATAGCACACACGGCGCGCAGTGAGTGCAGTCCACACCACCAGCAACGTCTTGCCATCCCCGCAGGTACCACAAAGAGCTTACACTTGCAAGTGCATGTGTGTGTGTGTGTGCGGGGGGGGGGATGATATCCAACACTCGATAACGCACACACAGGCACAAAGAGGGCAACGCACATGCACACACATACACCACACCAACAGTGCCCCTGCCTCTCCCCTCCGCATCTCCATGACGCAACGTACAATGAGACGCTCCTTGGCCTCGGGCTCCTCCGGGCGGAGAATGCCGTATTTGCGCATGAGCGGAACAATGAGCAGGTTGTTGTACACAAACGTGCCCAGCAGCAGCAGCGCAAAGCCGACAATCTGCAGCGGCGCGAACGTCTCCCAGCCGACGCCAAGGCCGTATGCCCAAATTGTCAGCGTCCGCACAGAGTCAAGCACCATGCGCGTCGTGGCGGACATCTCCTTCGTCACGCTGTACTCGTGCGCATGCGAGTGAGTGAGTGAGTGAGTGTGTGTGTGTGTGTGTGTGTGTGTGTGTGTGTGTGTGTGTGAGTGAGTGAGTGAGTGAGTGAGTGAGTGAGTGAGTGAGTGAGTGAGTGAGTGAGTGAGTGTGTGTGTGTGAGTGTGTGTGTGAGTGTGTGTGAGTGTGTGCTTGTGTGTGTGTGTGTGCGTGTGTGTGCGTGTGTGTGTGAGGACGTAAGAGCGTGAGCATGTGTGCGTGTGTGCAAATAAACACGCTGCAGTTGATTGTGTGCGTCCGTGTGCACCTGATGCCGCTGAAGTTGAAGACGGCGATGGAGCAGATGGTGCCGCCAATCGCAAGGCCAATCTGCCACGTGCCGAAGATCTGTTGCGAGCACACATGCAGCGATGCGACAGAGAGGTGTGAGGAAATGTGCAAGTGTACGCGGTCAAGCCACCAGCCATGTGAATATGTGTGTGTGTGTGTGTGTGTGTGTGTGTGTGTGTGTGTGTGTGTGTGTGTGTGTGTGTGTGTGTGTGTGTGTGTTGACTAGATATTGTTCGCTATTCCACCCCCCCCCCACACACACACGCAAACAAACCGAACCAAAACAAACCACATCACATCACAGGGCCCGACCTGGACAATGGCGTCGTTGATGTTCTCAAAAGTGCCGCCGGCGCGGGGCCCGGGGATGTAGAAGAAGATCATGGAGAGCGTCGACATGACAAGGAGGCCAAAGACGCCCTCCCAGCCAACAGCAAGCAGCGCAGGCACCTCGTACTTGGTCAGGAACTTCTCCTCAACCACCATCTGCACGGCGACAACAAGCTGCAGGCAGCGGAAGGGAAACACGCGGCACAGTGTTGGTGGTGGTGGTCGTCGTCGTGGTGGTGGTGGTGGTGGTGAGGGGGATTGGGTGCTTGCGCAACAAAATAGCAAGCAAGCAAGCGCCGAAGCAAACGGCACGAACAAGCAACCAACCAAGCCACCGAGCAACCAAGCCACCAAGCAACAAACACCTTCCTTACCTGGGCTGCGATGATGAGGGCATCGCCGAGGATCGGGTTTCGCGCCTGCGCGCCGCTGGCGCCGCTGAAGAAGGCAGCCAGGCCAACACACACCAGGCCAGCAAGCACAAGCACCATGCCAGCCTGATTTGGAAGGGTGGGGTGGGGTGGGATGGATGTGGAGTGGTTGGAAACGTGAGCCGCACGATCGCACCAACATCGCCACGCGCGCACGACAAATGCAAGCACACACACGCACACGCACACACACACGCACACGCACACGCACACGCACACGCACACGCACACACACACACGCACACGCACACACACACCCACACCCACACCCACACACGCACACACACACGCACACACACACACACACACACACACGCACACACACACACACACAGGTCAGCTAGGCAAACGGACCCATTGGTAGCCCTTGAGGGGCTTCTTGAGCCAGAAGCGGCTGAGAAGACCGGTGAAGATGATCACGCTACCGCGCAGCATCTGGAAATGGCGGGAAAACCACAACGCAATATGAAGAGGGGGAGGGCAGTGAGGGTGAGGGATGATGGGGTGTGATGGGAGGCGGTGATGTGACAGTCGACGATTACAGTCGGGGGAAGAGAGCGCAAACAGGCGAATTTATTCACACGCACACAGACGCACATACACAAACACATGCACAAACGCACATACACAAACACATGCACGCACACACGCACGCACACACGCACACACACATGAATGCACACTCGAAATCGGACCTGGAACTGGGACGCAAAGGTGAGGGTCAGGCCGACATACATGGTGCTGGTCGCCTGCACACACACACACACACATGCAGGAAGTGGCAGCCAATACGTGTCGACGTGAGGAAGGCGTGTTGGTAATGGAGGTGAGACAACAACGTGACAAACCACAGAGGAACAGCAGCCACATTGCGCAGCAGTTATGTCTCACTCCCACGCAACAGGGAACGCTGATGGGCAGGCACCCCATGCACGACGCTCATCGACGCTCTCATCGCCATACACCAATACACACAGGACCACGTGCCATGACGTACGGTGCAATCGCAGAGCGCTGGGAGGAGGAAGATGATGGGGTTGAAATCCTTGACCTTTGGCGGCTCGCGTCCCTGCAGGAGCGATGCAAGCGTGTGAGCGGGCGTGACAGGTTGCACAGGGTGCAAAGAGGGAGTTGCGATGGTCGGATGGGAGCAAAAGGATGGTACTTCAAGGATAACAAGATCAGCAAACCAACACAGCACATAAGACACGACAGGCAATCGTACACACACGTGCACACACACAT